TATTAAAAGTGTTAAATATATTAAAAATATTTTATTTATTAAATATAGTAAATGTATTACATTATTAAATATATTAAATTTATAAAACACATTAAATACATCAAACTTATTAAATATATCAAATTAAATAAATTTATTACATATATTAAATATATTAAATTTATTAAATGTGTTAAATATATTAAAAATATTTTATTTATTAAATATAGTAAATGTATTACATTATTAAATATATTAAATTTATTAAAAGTGTTAAATATATTAAAAATATTTTATTTATTAAATATATTAAATTTATAAAACACATTAAAGATATCAAACTTATTAAATTTATTACATATATTAAATATATTAAATTTATTAAATATATTAAATTTATTAAATGTGTTAAATATATTAAATATATTTTATTTATTAAATATAGTAAATGTATTACATTAATAAATATATTAAATTTATAAAACACATGAAATACATCCAACTTATTAAATATATCAAATTAAATAAATTTATTACATATATTAAATATATTAAATATGAACTTCTGATCGTTCAAATCGTTTTGGATCACGAGTGTCAAATCAGACAAGTTCTTTTGAAGTCAAACTTTAAAAAATGTGTACATTTAAAACGTCGTCTTCAAAGTGAAGCAACTGTGAAGTCATGTTAGCATAATATCTGTGTTACCACCATGCTGGGAGGGACTGATGTCTCGGCTGTTTTGATTTTCACTTACATTCGGCTTGCTTCTGGGTTTTCTGTATCAGGCTCCTCGTTTTCTCTGAACAAACAGAAAACAAGTAATAAATTAATAAATTAATAGGATGAACTCAAAACTGCTGACTCGGCACCGTTTCATTGTTTAGCATTGTTGACATCGAACGCTGGCTTTAGCTGCCAGTTTAGAAGGTGAAAGTTCAGCGCGTTGTCTTCACTGTGCGAGTGCTCAGCTTCTCACCCACCACACCCGACAGGGTGGAGCGTCTTGCTCAAGGACACTTCAACATGTAGGCATGGAAGGAAATCAAACCTAGGACTTTTAATTATAGCAACCAATGAGCAAGTTTTAGCTTTCCTAATACTTTTAGCTAATGTTTTTACTGTAGCTACTGGTTTCCACTTTTTGTTTTGGCTACTTTTAGCTAATGTTGTACTGCTTTCAGCTGCTGCTTTACTACTTTTAAACTTAACTTTGTAGTACATTTACATTTATCTACCGTCTCAATACTTTTAGCTATCATTCAGCTTACCGTACTGTTAAGACTACATTTTAGCTACAGATTTGCTACTTTTACGTATAAATTTGCTACTCTGCTTTTAGCCACCATTTGGTTACTTCAAGATTATAGCAACAGTTCAATCATTTTAGCTACAATTTGGCAATTTCAAGAGTGCAGCAATAGTTTCAATCATTTTAGCTTTTAGCTACCATTTGGCTACTTTAAGATTATAGCAACAGTTTAGATCATTTTAGCTTTTAGCCACCATTTGGCTATTTCAAGAGAACAGCAACAGTTTTGACCAATTAGCTTTTAGAAACCATTTGGCTACTTTAAGATTAAGGCAACAGTTTCAATTGTTTTAGCTTTTAGCCACCATTTGGCTACTTTAAGATTATAGCAACAGTTTTGACCAATTAGCTTTTAGCAACCATTTGGCTACTTTAAGATTAAGGCAACAGTTGAACATTTTAGCTTTTAGCCACCATTTGGCTACTTTAAGATTATAGCAACAGTTCCAATCATTTTAGCTTTTAGCCACCATTTGACTACTTTCAGATTACAGCAACAGCTTTGACCAGTTAGCTTTTAGCCACCA